TGCGTCAGATGTTTTAAAATATTCTTTGGCAGTGTTGGTTGTCAACCTTGTTATCGATTCTCATAACTTTAAAATGCAAAGGCGATTTGAAAGTACATTCTACTTTAAAACATGTTTTTAATTTAAAGCCACCGTGTGTGTATTTATGTTTGAAATGCATGTTATAAGTTATTCGTTGTTAGGGTTTTTTTGTACCAATAACATGGTAAACAAGCAAACCACCCGTTTGATGCAGTTCTACAACTTAAGTTCCTAGTAGGACCCACACCAGAAACTACAGGTACCTATTATAGTTGAAGATAATTATTTAACTACAATAATGTAATTTTTCATAAAAGATCGCCTAAATGGTAATTTATTTTAATTTTTTTTTTTTTGAAAAGGAAATTTGAAAGTTCTCATATTGGTCTAGACACAGTTTCAAAACCAACAGACAGACCAGACAACCTTAAGGAAAATACTGATACCTAATGATGAAGATGAACACTTTAAAATAAGGATTCTTAAAGTCAAACCAAAACGAGTCCTGAATGTTGTATTACTGATTTTGTGCTAAGTGCGTGAGTACTTATTCTGTTTTTTTTTAAGCTATTGCATAGCTTCTATCGAGGGCCTTGAGCGTGGGGACCGAATCCAGAAATTCCGTAACGAAAAAAACCTCACGCTAAAAACAAAACAAAAAACAGTACCAAAATCAAATGCTGAACGTCAAAGGAAATTTCGTCAACATAATGCAGAAAAATCTTACATGGATATGTAATTTGATTTAATAATAATATTTTTTATTTATTTATTTAAAAACAAATTGTAATATATGCTTCAATATTTTTATTTAATAAAAGAAAAAAAATGTTTTCTCATCGGTCACCACGCTCAAAAAGTGTAACTTTAATTAATATCAAAGAAAAAGAAATACTGCATAAATAAAATAAATAAATAATTATAATTGCATAAGTTGATACAAAATGCTATGCAATAGCTTTACCGCGGCAGTCCCCGAGTGCCACACGTCTTATTTTTTGGTTGTATATGAGTATGTTGGACGTCTAGTTGTGAACTTCTTCAAGACTAAAATAGTGTGTATTATTTAAAGACGAAACGTCTTTCACGTTTTCTTCTTCAGGCAGTGCAGCTCTTGACTTTTTCATATATTTTTCGTCATTACTGTTACCAGTAGGTACTGAACTAAATTCCAAACATAAAATGTACGTATCCCTTATTTCCTGCCCGTTTAATTTACTTAAAACGATTTTAGATCCCAATCGCCTTCTCTAGTTAACCTACTTTCCCTGTACTTCTTATTTTTTATTTATGTACTACTTGTTGACTAATTAGTCATTCAGTTCATCGAAAATTTGAAATCAAATGTTAATACCTTTTGTTTTGTTGTAACAAGAGAATCAGCAGTCGAGCAATTTTACTAGAGTATTGATTAAGTCGGTTAAAGCATCAAAGTCTACATTAATGAGTCATTTTTTTGCTAAAATTTATTGGAATTATGTATCAGTAAGTGATATATTAAAGCCTGATGCGTTGAAAGCCTGTGACTGGTAGCAGTTGCAAAACCACAAACAGGGGTGACTCGATGTAAGCAAACAAGTCAGTTCCGCTTGCAGGCGGTAGGCCTCTGTAAATTATAGGCGCGGGTGGTTACAACATCAAGGACATAACTATAAAATCCTAACTGATGTGGAAACACAATTGTCTGTCAATTGTTTATACTATAATTATAAGAATAAAGAAACCTTACCACAGTAAAAACTCACAATAAATCTTTGTGCCTGTTGATAGCTGAATAGGTTCCATATTATTTTTTTGCTGTAGTAAGTATAGGTGAAACGTCATAATGTAAGGCAACAAATGCAGATGATTTGTAAGTTGTAACTGCAAATGAGGGTCACAATCGATAGTTGCATATTTTGCATTACATACCCAATAATTGAATGTTTCAATTGCAAGTGATCGTTATTGATCTGACATTGGTGCTGTCGATGGTTCTGATGAATTGCATTAGAGTAAGGGTATATTTCTGATCGTTTAAAAGGTACATATTGTTTAATATAACTCAGTTGACAATATCTCTCACAGTGCACATTGTTTACTTCACGCATTTATTTCAAGATGAAGCGTCGACTAACATATTTTTTTGCAACCATGTGTTTTTTGGCCGATTATAAGACCATTCAACCTGAATGAGTATGATGAATCACTAATAACAACAATAACATCAAAATTGTTGTCCCGGAATAAACAAGGAGGGTTTAGTGCGCTTGTTGCTCAAACTGCTGGAATTGAAAAAGGAGCTGTAACTTCATCGGAATCCAAATTGTTTGAAGATCTTTCCTAAAATCCCTCAGTAGTGCAACCTTGCTTTCACAATTCGTAACACCTAACCTTGCAGCGGTCATATGCTGTTATTCGCTTCATGCTTTTATAACTTGTAGGAAATAGTATATTGTACTTGTTCTTAACACGAAGCTAACCTTAGACGACACAATGCATCTGATACTCTAGATGTTGGTATGTTAACCACTCTCGACCTCCTGAATCTGATAACCGTTCTTTGGAGTAAGTCTTCTCTACACATTTCTGTATTTTTATAAAGAAATGAGTTCCTCCTTGAATACAAATAAAACAGGTGACTGTGTCGTGTCAAATTGACATAGTTGTGTAGAGTATACACGATACTATGACGTACTTCTCTTGAAAATTTTCAAAAGCTTATCAATTGTACAGAGCCACAATCATCTAAGTACCTACTTTTTTATTATTTTATTGCCAATATTAATAGTTAATAAGAATTTTTCAATTAAATATTGTTGAACATTATAAGAAACGATACAATAAGTTCAATATCCACTAAAGGCCTACAGACACGTTTTACCGTCATTACAAAATACGGAAGACGACGACGACCTTGGCTCTTAGATATATCCTAGTCTGCACAATTAAGTACAAATTGTGTCTATATTTTTTGACTTTAGGAATGCATGTGAATGAGGTTTCCATTGTTAAAACTGTTTGCAAACATCGCTGATAATAAAGTTCCTTATCATATTTGGAAAATAACTTGATTAAATAGAAGATAGCGATGTAGCATTTTATCTTTGAGGAGACAAATCTTTTTCTTCACGAAAATATTGATTAAACCGTAATCAATTAGGTCCAATCCAACCTCGGTAAGGACTCTCACAATATATTTTTTAACTTCAAGCAATTTTCATTACTATCAAACTGAAGTGTCCAAAAACCAATTTGGGTTATATACCGAGGTTAGGACCCTAGAGGCGGTGGCAGAGGCGGGTCGGCATTGGGTGCTGTATATCAAATTAGGCTATTGATCTAGAGAGTAAGATTAGATCATCTAACAACGATATGATCTTAGCTGAATAACAAGTCAAAGTAGCTAAAGGTAGGAAAAAGGAAATTCAAAGTAGCTCAAGGAGCACGGAGTTTCTACGGTGCAGCGAAAAACTAGTAGTGCACGCTTGGCCTTAGTAGTTCAGCCAATCGTAATATCAATGCAAGAGTAGGAAGAAGGTGAGTTTATAAAATAAGGTTAACCGGTCGCCAACTTGTTACTAGATTAACATTTAAATCTAACTAAGGGTTAAGGCTTCTCTAAAACGTGCGTCAGATGTTTTAAAATATTCTTTGGCAGTGTTGGTTGTCAACCTTGTTATCGATTCTCATAACTTTAAAATGCAAAGGCGATTTGAAAGTACATTCTACTTTAAAACATGTTTTTAATTTAAAGCCACCGTGTAGTTATCGTAATGCATTATGCCACGTGATTGATATTTATTTTGAGATTATCAAGATGCTAAGTAAATTTAACACGTGTAGAGTATTAGTAAACGGATAAAGGTAATCGCTTGCTTTGATTTTGTGATAGGGTTCTGTTGAGAATAATACAACATGCTAAAAGTAAACATATGCGACTTTACCTTTCTAATGTTATTAATTCAACTGCAGATATTTGTAGGGCTTAAGTGGTGTTGATAGGTATGTTTTTACTTCTCTAAAGCCAAATTACCTAGGTACAATTAAATAAAAGCTTTGCTGCTCTGTTTATTGGCTTATAAACTGTAACGTATGTTGTTGATTGTCTGGGATTAAATTCGATGTAAGTACTCTTGTGGTTGCCATTATTGTTTGTGAATATTTTTATTGTGTACTGGCAAAAGACGGCTGCTGGTCTTTCTCTCAGGGACAGGATTGCAAATTGACAGATTGGAAATATTGCAAAGATGAGTAGTCGACTCATCTTTGCAATATTTAAGCTAGATACTATGTTTCACTTTATTGTCAGTGCGTAATTCGCCTATAAAGCTATTTCAGCAGTTTTACCGTAATAATGGTGCTTGCTTCGCTCTTAGCGGCATCAAGATTGGGTAAATGTAAATAGTTTTTTTCATATTCTATTGATAGTCCGAAATTAATACGTTCATATTAAAAATAGAAACTACGAAGCTATCCATACTAGATTGATATCTATATATAGATCTATATAAATATTAATATATCAGTAGGTTATTGCTACTATTGGTGTACAATAAAGAATTATCTATCTATCTAGTATGGATAGCTAAAAATGATGAGATGAGATAAAAATGAATTGCCAACAAGGTTTGTATAAAATACATTTTCTTTAAATTTAACAGTTTTTTTTTAAATCTCATAATATGAAAAGTGAGTGAGTGAATGATACAGAAGACTGTGAGAGATTTATACTAACATGTTTTATAAAGAGGTAAAGTTTGCGAGTTTGTATGTTCGGGGTAACCTCAGGTATCATGGGTTCGATAGCCCTTTATCGAGGCAGGATATAGGCTATATAAAATATAGCGAAAACGGGCAAATGTATTCCTTTTAAGAGTAGCAGACGAAGTTCCGTGGGTCAGCTAGTATTTCAATAAAAGCGCAAGTAAAATCGAGGAGATTCTTTTATTTAAAAAATTATTGCAGTAGTTAAATATTCACATTTTGAGGTATGTACACTACTTCCCCATTCGTTGAATGGACCACTCCTGTTGGCAGAGCGGACAACGATTATTTTGCTTCACCCAAAGTGACATGCAACAAAAATGAAAGCTATGATTGCATTCACCCCAGACGACGACGCAGTCTTGTTTGCCGTACGAATCTTTCTTGCTCTCTCCCTGGCATCTCAAACAGGCATCTGTGGACAAAATAAAAAAAATCACAATTAACAAAACATTATCGGTATTAGCCCACAATAATCAATATCAAAGGTAATGTCAAGACAACGCTATGACACACATACCTTATTATTAATCATTACCATAGATTACGAAATATTTGAGTCAGTGGAAGTCAATACATAAATCATAATTTATGGTTGTGATGTCAAATCAATTATTGTTTAAGAGCCAAGAGTCAACATAGAAGAAACGGCTGCTTATGTAAGTAAGTAATTTAAACCAATAGCTGGAATTTTGGGGCTCTAGGGGAACAAAGATACATAGAAGAGTAACTATTATTTAAAGATAAACTCAAAATATTTTGATTTAATAAAAAAAATAATGACATCTTCTTAAACTCTAAAGTCATAGATCAACACACACAATACCAAAAATCTGTTGTGTCACATATTTATGAAAAGGAATTTAATCCATTATGTGCCTGCTTCGATCTGGAACCCTGTGAGAAGAAAGGGCAAAAAAACTCACGGCCACTCTTTTTTAATTACAGCTGGATACAGTCACATCATTAAATATATAACAACATTGTTTTGATTTGTGCGCCAGTATATCAGTTGTTAAGGACTAGATAGAAAAAGCAATGAAGAGATTAAGAAAAAATATCGAATAGAATTGAAAATGATGCAAAACAATGATCACAACATCTTATAGATGAGAAAAATAAATAAAAAACACATTAGCCTACACTACATTTCCACTTAAGAAAAAGACTGTGCTAAATTAATCCCAAGCATTCTTGTCTTCTATGTAATCCACAATCGAGTAATAGGCCTTCTGACACAGCCTATGTTTCACTGGGGATTTAAATTTATTTAAACTTGTCTAGTATTTTACCTGGGGTTTTATTATAAAATCTGATAAAAGATTAAGATCATGAGCATTTTAGTTGACAATGATGACGTAGTAATTAGCAGTATAAATGCTAGTATTTTATAGGAATGCAATGTTTAAATGCCATAATTATGCATTGTTGTCATTAGCCCTTGACTTTATTTGTGGTATTTACTCAGAAAATAAGGAGGGAAGAATGTATATTCAATGCTAATATTTTACAGTAGGACAGTTTAACTGAATATAATATACAATGGTTAAGTAGTTTGATTTGGTTTGGTTTTGGTAGTAGTTAACTTGTTGTTTTAACAACTTTCATTTTATTTTATTAAGGAATTTAAAATTCAGGAGGACCGCCTGCCGTCTCGGTACATCACAACAACACATCAACAATAGCAACTGTTGATGAAAGTTCATACCCTAGGTCATTTACAGGTGATTACAAATTGCAGAAGAAAAACTAGTTAAAGTTATCTTTTAGCTGTTAATATTTAAGATTTTCTAATTCTAATGTTGTAAAAATAAAAATTTTGTTTAAGTTTATTTTTGATCATGTGTCTTTCGTGTTTATTTTTATACTTATCAGTGCGGAACCGGAAAAGTAAAAACTTTCCAACTTTCTAACACACATAAATAAATCCATAATTAGAAATAGAATAGATTATTAAATGGAATGAGCATAAATAATGATAACAGAACATTCTTAAGACACCCTAAGGCTTACAAGCTGACACTGAAAACTTGTTTCGTCAAAATTTGCTGTCATTTAATACTTTTAATGATAATTTGTTTTTATTTTAATTTCATATTATATGTCAATACATAGTTCTAAAATTCCCATAGAAGTCACGTAATTTAAAATGTTACAGGTCTAAAGTTATTGTGCTAAGTCTCAGATGTTTAGCAATATTGGGTTCCACGAGTTCTCATTTATCTTCCTATAAGAATAGGTGTAGTTTTGCCCTTATAGAATTAATTTAGCTCCTGAGTACTATTAACGGGAACAAAGATGATTCACTGACGTCGTATGAGGGATATTGAATGTATAATAATAAATACGAAGCGAAACTTACATCTACTATTGCGAATACATATATTACTTAAGTTCAATGAATATTTTAATATGTTTAGAAGGAATTTTATATGTATTTCAAATAACGTTTATGTAACTTTTTGATAGCTACATAAAATGATTCTTGGTATTAGTCTCAATCCTTTGACTAACAACTTTTATTGGCAAATAAGACTATACTATTATTGCATTTATGAAACGTGTTGCGTTTTTCTATTACGTGGCTCAAGATCTAAACTATTGATATATTCAGGTTTCATGTAGCGTTGGTTAATTCTTGATCAGCCTGTTAATCACAAAAGCTCAGTACTTGAGTACAGACTAACAAGAGTAGGTCAAATTAATTAAGGCCAGTTTACATATTTATGTACACATTGTAAGTGTAATTTAGGCCAAGAACGGATCTTATTCAAATGGTTTAGCTTTAATAAACTGTTGATATGGAATACGAAACCTCCTGACTCTTAAAGTGATGCTACCCAATTCCAATATAGATATAAGTAAAATTGAAAAAGGATCTGATAATATTTATATACTTATATCAAATACACCATAGATACAAAATTGTCGACTTAATGCCCTGGGCATTCTCTACCAGCCCACCTCTGGTTGGTGTAGAAATCTCGTAAGGTAGATAGATGCACCGAGGTTACAATTTTGTAATCAATGGTTATGTTTTTTATCAATGCAAATCTATATAAAACTATATTACTATACAAATACATATACACATATATACATATTCTTTGTGTGAATACACACATTCAAACACGTTACAACATTCTCCTACAAACATCGATAGTTCCATATATGTGCCTACCTACTTTGGGTACATGGATTTTAACATGCCAGACCGTGTAATGTATTCCTTACAACATAATATATTATTTTGGTAAATCACCTCGCTTAAAATGTTCAGTGCTCCACTCTGGATGAGAATGTTTTACTGCAAAACTTAAACAAAAAAACAATTGTTATAAACCCTTTTTAAAAAAAAAGTTGAACCGACTTCAAAAAACACCGACAAAGAGCACTAAAAATTAAAAAATAATTACAAATCCAAGTAAAAAACTATAATAAGTACCCTCAATGTAACAGGTAACATTATAATACCAATAGTCCCTTCTAGTCTGTTTGAAGTCGGTGCCAAGCCAAATAGGTGCTTGATAGGCATGGTAGAATGTAGCGCGGCAGCTGCAACAGTCTTCATGCTGCGCAAAACATGATGAATGAGCTAAAGTGGACGCACATCTCCAATTATATTATTATTTTGAATTCTTTAATAAGTAGTTGATAAGTTTGCGCACGTAATTGATCTGGTTGGTCTTTATTAATTAACAAAATCTTCGATGTTTCATTCGAATTATTTTGAATTCTTAATTTTTCATTGTGCTAATATAAAGCTGACATAGACCAGTATTACTTATTGTACATCGAGCTTGGCACCGACTTCAAACAGACTAGAAGGGACTATTGGTATTATAATGTTACCTGTTACATTGAGGGTACTTATTATAGTTTTTTACTTGGATTTGTAATTATTTTTTAATTTTTAGTGCTCTTTGTCGGTGTTTTTTGAAGTCGGTTCAACTTTTTTTTTAAAAAGGGTTTATTTTACCATTTTTAGTGTAGGATATGAAAATGACATTGGCGTCCAAACTGATCAAGATCAGCTTAAATTCTTTTCTAAGAAACAGTCAAATTCTTGTGAGTTGCAACCGAACAAAATAACTTCCGATTCAATTGACACTGATCTCGAAGGTGAAGATAGGGAAGCTTTAGTGAGACTACTCAACAAATATGCTCAATATTTTATAGAAGGAGTTCCAACTAGAAGGGTTAATACTAGTATGTTAGAAATTAACCTAGTTGACCCACCCAAAATTTAAGAGTTTTTTTTAGAACTATTTTAATAAATTAAGTATAAAATTACTTAGAAACGAAATGCGATGCCATCCATAGCAACTAAACGTCTATCCGAATTATTTTAACAAGATAGAATACAAAATTTCAACCTTTTCTTCTTAATACAACGAAAATTACTGTGGTGACATAAATACTGCAAATTCTCTGCGCATCACATCGCGCAGTCTCTGACAGTTGCCATGGTTTGTTTGGCTAAAGAAATACTCGTAGCTAAAACACGTTGTCCGGGCTGTCAAATTCCCAATAATTGTGAGGGTTTCACTCGATTTCTCTAGGATCCCATTATCAGATCCTGAATTGGTGGTAATGGGACCAATTCGGGAGCATACCCTTTCGATTACAAAAATAATTTTGAAAATCGGTCCACAATTGACGAAGAAATCGCGTAACAAACATACATAAAAAAAAAAATACAGACGAATTGAGAACCTCCTCTTTTGTGTTTTGGAAGTCGGTTAAAAAGAAAACATACTGTCGAATCAAAAACCCTCCTTTTTTGATGTTGGTTAAAAATCGACTAGCATGAAGCTCCTAGTCGAGACGAATCAAATGAGCACAAACACGCCGGAATTGCTTTATTTTATTACAGAGTTCCCATGGCTATTTACCGTCTCCATCATCAGACCCTGAATATCACATAGGATCGGAGTCCTTATTAATTAGACTCAAACACATTCAAATTCGATGGTATTACATAATTTTGTTACAGAGATCCCATACTCCTAAACCATTCATCATCAGCTTCATCATCAGCTCAGCAACATCAGATGGTGACCATTAGATGCAAAAATCTACATAGATTAAGATAATTTCTGATAAACAGTGTATATGCCTACAAAATTTGAGGGTTTCCCTCGATTTCCCCAGGATCCCATCATCAGATCCTGACCTGGTGACAATGGGACCACCTCTGACGTGTGACCTACCAAATAAAGAAAGAATTATTCAAATCGGTTTATAATTGCCGGAGTAATCGCGTAACAAATATACAAAAAAAAAAAAAAAAAAAATACAGTCGAATTGAGAACCTCCTCCTTTTTTTGAAGTCGGTTAAAAAGGAGGGATCCTTTTATGCGACTTCAAAAAGGAGAAGTTTCTAAGCTATATGTATTTTGTTATAAATCATTGAAAATAAAAACACAATACAGCCAATAATCTGCAAGAATCGATTCTATCTAGTAATATTCTATAAAAAAATTAAAACTTGTACAAACCGCACTCTATAGTGTATATTATAAATAGACGATTATTTAATTTGTAAAACGTGAGCAATTGAGGTCCCCTGAAAACATAAATGTACATAAGACAGATATGAAAAATTACTCCCAATGTGAGGTCTTGGATACGACGATAAATGTATAAAAAATAGTTTTTAAACATTGTAGCGAATGGCCTCCTGCATTGAACACAGTTTATACTTGTCTTTAGCACGTTAAGGAACTTTTAAAACCTAGTTATCTATGAACAATAGTATAATTAAATTAATAAAACACTTCCTTAGTGAATGTTATTGAAACAATAACACATGGCATTTGTCATTTCATAGTATTTCGAAATCAGTATGAAATGTAGTAAAAATTTAAAATACTATTGTGTAACACGAATTTGTTTATATTAAAAAAAAAGATTTATTGTTTAAAAATGTCGCAACTTCGGTATTCTTTCAAGGGCACACACAAATTTTCGGCAATTGTGTTTGACAAAAAGACCGTGGGATTACAGACACCTCTTCTCTTAGTTTCCCCTTTAATCCCTAATCCTTATTTTTATTCTACGGAGTGTGTTTTGTTCATTAATGTGCCTAGGTGTAAATGGCAAAACAAAATGTTGATGTTGCGAAAGCGATCAAACATTGTTCAGGAATACAACTTTATTTCATTTGGAAAAATTACGATTAATTATTAATGTTACGATTTTTATCTAAATTATAAACAAAAAGTTAAAAAAAATATTAACAAGCAAAAATGCTCTGTAATTACAGTTTTTAGGAGATAAATACTGACAGTAAAAAATCCAGGTATGTTTCCCCTAAAAGCATATCAAATGTTCTACGTGTTTAGGAATCATAAAGCTCTTTAGGATTTACGTAGTTCTTATACATGGTATATTTTGTATCTTATACTTGGTATATAAGTAGCATCAACGGGCAACTCATTTCAGGCGTAGTGAGGCACACTGCCTAGTTTCATACAAGGAGGTGGAATAATTTATACCTCGCAAGGAATGCTGAAATATGTTTTCGAAGCGAATCGTACGCTTAAAACTTTCAAGACTTGCTTAAAGGGCTTGTTCAGAAAACGTTTTTTATTCTTGAAAAATTCCATTAGCGATGAACCAAATATATTTCAATATTTTTACAGGCGAGTAGGAAACAAGAAAAATAAATACTGACTACATTATCATTGTTTCTTGAAATTGTCATTTAAGATCATATTTGTCGTAATCTTAACATTAATATGATATGCACATAAAAAAATCTAAATGGATTTCTTGTTGCGGAAAATGTCGATGCTCATTTCATGAATATGGCGATGTCCAGTTGCTCCAAAAAGCACTCACGACAACTATTGATTTTAATTATTTCTCCTCATGGAACTCCGTCGATAGAACTTTTTACTTTCTTCAGTAGCCCTGGGCCTCAATTCTGCTATTTTATGTTCACGCCAAGCCACTCTCATACCACTGACACGCTATTGAGATGCCATCGAGTGGCCATTGGCATCGGTATAAATATCGGTAGTCTATACTAACTCAGTGTCTTTAGAGTGGCAATGGAATGGCAGTCTCATCAGTGGTGATATCAAAAATATTGCCATTTTGGAAAAGTAAATAAATCATTTCCTTATAATTTGAAACTGTATTACCTTTTTTTAATTTTTGTCCATAAAGTTGTTATGGATTTTTCATATTTATTGATACGAATGTATAAACTACAACGACATAATATACCGTAATTAATAGAATTATCGTTGCTGTTTTTGTTTAGTTAGTGTAGACTACCGATATTTATACCTATGCCTATGGCCACTCGATGGCATCTCAATAGCGTGTCAGTGGTATGACAGTGGCTTGGCGTGAACATAAAATAGCAGAATTGAGGCCCTGAACTGTAAAAAATTACTGCATAGAAGATTTCAACAGGGAGTCCCGAGAGATAATAGGTTCATAGGCAAAGATGAAGAGTGCCATTTTATTTAACATTACAAGTTATTCAAGGTTATAAAAACATTCTAGTAACTGGTAATAACTTAAAAACGTAAATGTATAAACATAGCGTTAGATAAACATTGCATAGCATATGCAGAATTACGATGGCAGTGCAAACATAACAAAA